TGATCCACGCGCATTCTCCTGTGAAGTCATCCGGAGACACCAATGAAGGATGGACAACGTCCATGGTTGCCGCTGAGTCTCTAAGTGCTCGGCACGTTTTCTCATTGACCCTAATTTCTTGGAGATACGGCTCCAACAACCGCATGTTTTTTTCTGATTCTCGGATCGTTGCGAAGGCAAACTTTTCCTGACAGTTTCTCGCGATGTGCCCTTCCTTTTTACAGTTGTAGCAGATTAGCGGCTTCCGTTTGTTTTCCGGTTCTAATGCCTGTGTGGTAGAAACCTCACTCGATTTCTCCGCTTCTGTTTGCCCTTCCCCTACACTGTCCTTCGTAAGAGACGGGTCCTTCTTGAAATTACGGTGCGGAGCGGGTTTCCGTTGATCAGGTTTCCTTGAAAAGCCCTCTTTCCTTTCATCCTTTTCAACGCGCGCTGCCCTGCTATGCAACTTTCGGCGAGTATAATACTCCTCAGCTAACTCAGCTGCCTTGTTTAACTGTACGTCCCCAAGTCTGTCCTGCAGCCAAAGTTTGACATCCTCCTCGATGCAGCGGTAGAATTGCTCCAATGCAACGCATTCCACCACTTTATCGCGGTCGTCATAAACACCTTCGCCCTTGAGCCATTCAATCAAATCGGCTTTAAGACGAAACGCGAAGTCAACGTGTGACTCATTCCCCTTTCTAGCATACCGGAACCTTTGCCTGAAAGCCTCGGGTGACAACTTATAACGTCTCAAGAGCACTTCCTTAACCTCGTCATAGCTCTCAAACGCTTCCCTCGACAAGCAAGTTATCGCGTCGGACACTTCGCCGGGAAGAAGAGCTAGCAGGTTCCGCGCCCAAAGAGACTGCTCCAAAGCATTTCGCTCACAGACGTGTTCAAACTTGACGAGATACTTCGCCATGTCCTCGCCTACTACGAACGGTGGCAGTTGATCCCGAATTCTAATACCGCTGACCTGCATCGTCGGAGAAGCTGCGCTAGGCGCCTGCGAACACTGTAGGATTGCCAATTCTAGTCGTTTCATCTCAAGGCGCTCCTGTCTCTCGGCCTCCTCGCGACGTTCGCGCCTTTCAGCTTCTTCGCGAGCTTCGCGCCTTTCAGCTTGTTCACGTTCGCGAGCTTCGCGCCTTTCAGCTTCTTCGCGAGCTTCGCGCCTTTCAGCTTCTTCACGTTCGCGAGCTTCGCGCCTTTCAGCCTCTTCGCGGGCTTCGCGCCTTTCAGCTTCTTCGCGAGCTTCTACTTCTCGCCTTTCAGCCTCCTCACGGCGTGCTTTAATATCCACCCAGGCCTCATCGACTTCCTCAGCCGACACTCCCTCATCCTTCATGATCTCAAGGATCGCTTGCTTTCGTTTCGCACGGCCCAAAGTAATGCCGAGTTCCTCACAAATTTCGATGAGTTCCTTCACTTTAAGGTTCTCCATCGTTCACACTAGCCTCTTTCTGTTTGCCCCTGTTAACAATTTACTTGCCGTACCCACTATAAGTCAACTAGCAAGACGCGCAAGCAATTTTTCACTCTCCCGTGTTTACCCCCTCCGCATAACTTTGGTTTCAAAGCACTTCGACTTTGCTTGAAACGATCAAAGCTCACTCTAATGCTTCACACAGCCCTTCTCTAAACTACTACAACCTGAGCGAGAGCAGTCTGGTGAACTGAGGGGAAAACATCAGGCACTCACCGCATCGATGTCGCTGACGCCGGCCGATCCCGCAGCTGCCAACCACTGTTGCGTAGCGTATGTTTATCAGCTCGCGACTGCTTCTGCGCAGAGCCGATAAGACGAGCGGACGAGACGACGGTGAGTTAAACAAGGTTTATGTACAGCATATATACAGAGGCGTTACAATTTCGGCACTGGGGCCGACAGAGACTCGAAGAGCCGAGCTCTCCTCTCTAACACATAGGTCAGCCTTTCGCCTAAGACCGCTGACTCACACACATGTCGGCCCTCCGACATGGGGACTCCTCTCTCTAGGACTGCCGATCGCGACGCGCCGCAGGGCTTCTTTTATTTACACCGGGTCCAACCAAAATGTCCAATCAGAAGCGCCGCTGGTCGTCCGGGCAGATTCCGCCAATGGGGCCGCCGCGCCATGCGTCAGACCACCTGACACGAGGACGCCGGCTCGCTGTCACGTGCGCAACTGACTCACTGCACGTGGGCCATAGGAGCGCCGCGCGTGTTCACGCCGTCGAGGTGATCGCGCCAGGCAGACTGCGGGCTGGCCTTGACCCAGATTGCCTTTTTCAGAGGCACGGTCGTTTGACGAGGACTCGCTGGCATAACAGGGCCAAACCAAAAAGAATTATCGGTTAAGAAGAAGGTGAAGGAAGCTGAGACCGATATGTGGAGAATTGGCATGATTAAAAAGTCCGCACTAGAGATCTATCGAACTTTTAAGCAGGAAATTGCCTAGGAAAGGATCTATGATAATACTCGGGGTAGTTCTTTACAGTTTGAGGCCAGGACGGGAGTATTATGAACCAAGACATATCGGGCAAAATACGAAGGGGTAGACACGGTATGCAGTGCGTGTGGAGAGGAAGAAGAAACTGCCGAACACTAGATAATGTTTTGTAAAGGGCTTCACCCTATAGTTCAGGATGATGGCGCAGAGTTTTTCAAAGCACTGAGGTTTAGGGAGAGGGAGGGCAAAATAGACTTTAAGCGGGTATAATTAACTAGAAGGAGGTTATCTGATTGGTGGCTAAAGTCAAGTGACGAGTGAAAATTAAACCCTTCACTGCAAAGCACGAATCCTCAACCTCACTATTTAAAGGAAAAAAAATATAAATCTAGTTTCTGGTTCATTAAGTATTACGGCTTGGTGGCGCGAGCCACCGCCCGATCTAAAGGGTACAGCCATATCCATCCATCCATCCATCCATCACCCAAAGCGGCGATGCGCTGCGCAGAGACGGGAATCATCCACGCACGCGGGCAATATGAAACATTTAGAATATATTTTATTGCTCCTGTATAGCCTCAAATGGCGACCGAGCAAATATGTTAATTAGCTTCTGGAATTACAGCATGGCTACGCGGGTCCGCGACTGAACTGAAATATCGACAGGGTGACAAAAGTGAGCGCGTGACGGCACTGAAACATTTTCTCGGTGTGAAGTGGTAGAAGAGTGGAACGATGAACTCAGTTCTGAGCCACTGCTTGTAACACCCTCCACAGCGAACCATCATTTCCTCAAGTACTAATCGGTAAATAAAGCTCCATCATTCGTAACATACATGGCTCGCTTAGCTACTTCTGCTAACGCATAATCAAACTTAGAGACGAGAATCACGAACGGTATCTGCATGAAAACATTTTATTTTCTGCACACTGGCCGTACGTACAACGCGTTACTGAGCAGTGACTCACTATCTTTTTCAACAGCGCAGTCTTAATAATTGATCGAACGTCTTTTTTATCCACAAGAAAAAACATTTTATAGTTCACAAATGCACCCCAGAACATCATTTCCCTTGGCTTGGTGACGCCCCTCAGCTTCAGGGACTTCCTTTTTTCACGGGGAGACGCTCGACGTTGTACAGTGCCTTTGTGTAAAAACGCAAATGGGTGAGCATAAAAAACTTTGTCACTTAATTGCTGAGTCTCGGACCATGTTGCGAGCAGCTCAGTGTGACTTTTTTTTTTTTTGCAAGGAGGAAACAAACTCTTCCAAGCTGTCACTGTGAAGCTCGTTGTAGCTACACCACTTTGAAAAAGTGATTTCAAGGGCGTCTACAAGTGCGAAGAGCTTCTCCGATAGGCCTACCCGTAGGCATAAGCACGAGGAGGCAAAGAGTGCAGGCGCTCCCCCAAGTCGCCTGGGAGGGGGGGTGCTAAATCTGCTCTGTACATTATCTAGGCGGCGGGGCACTGTTTTAGTAACCTAAAAGGAGGGCACAAAATCTGCCTCATACACTGATTTAATAGGAAGGGCAGGCGCTGCAATGAACCTTCGCCCCCCTCCCCCTTCCCTGAACTCCTGCGCACGTCTGTGGGCGTACCCCTTTCAATGCAAACGATTTCGCCGTTCGCAGTGTGCTCGGAGTGCCAGGAGATGCACAAATTGTCGAATTTCAGCTCGGACACAGCCGATTTTTTTTAAGCAGCTTGTCAGCGCGCGGGATCACTCTTCGCCATTGCGCACACAGAGTTTCGTCGTTTGGAACGCCGATTAACGCATGCTTCTTTTAGGGGCGAAGCTTCTTAGGGCATGGGCTGTGCGTCCCCTGTAGCCTGTATGTAGCCACCTCTCGTTTAGTTATTGTAGTGTTTACTAGATGGTGGTACTTGTAGCTGATGATGAAAAGATGCAAGATGTTATAAACTAGAAAGCGGTACTTGTAGTTGATGAAAGACGCGAGACCTTATAAAATAGGAATGATGTCACATATGGCGCGTGTCATTGGTTGAAGGCAATCGTTCGATTTAGTGCGGCGACGTACGCTAGGGGGAGCGTTGTAATAAAATCCGTTCGCTGTTGGCGCGCGCTCGGAGTCGCCGGATGGATAAGGCTGCACAGCGGAGAGAGCGCAAGGCGGCAGCAGCGCGCGCTCGCAGACAGAATCCCAATGTGCGAGCGCGCGAGGCAGAAGCGCTCCGTGAAGCTGCGCGACACCGCCGCCAAGATCCTGCCGTACGTGAAAAAGAGGCTGCAGCGGCGCGACGCCGCCACCAAGATCCTGCCGTACGTGAAAGAGAGGCTGCAGCGGCGCGACGCCGCCGCCAAGATCCTGCCGTACGTGAAAAAGAGGCCGCAGCGGCACGGCTGCGGCGTGAACAGGACCTGCCGAACGCCACACAACGGGAAGCGGCGAGAAAGCGTGCGTATCGACAGGCGAACCCCGAAGCGAGAGTTCGAGAGGCTTCTGCAAAACGCGCCAAGAAAGAACACGAAGGTGCCGACGCGCGTTTCAAGCGCGACTTCCTGGACGTTTCGTTTGGCCATAGCTGTGGTGTGTGTGACAGACTGTGGTTCTCGAACAGTCTAGTCACGATATCTTCCATCAAGAACGACCAGGCTCGGGGTAATGCCATTGCCGTGCTTCGGCGCGAGTTCCCCGCCGACGACGGCGGCAGCAGCAGTGGCGGGGACTACAATGTTTGCTCGAGCTGCAAGAATTCGCTAGTGGCGGGAAAGGTGCCTCCAATGAGCGTATCTTATGGCTACACGTACCCACCCAAACCGGATCACTTGCCGCCTCTGAACCCCGTTGAGGAACGACTGATCGCTCCTCGTCTACCGTTCATGAGCGTGAGGCGGTTGACACACGGAAGCAGACAGTACGGCATCAAGGGGCAAGTGGTTAACGTTCCGATAAACGTCCCCAACACGGTTCAATGCCTACCTCGGAACGTTCCGGACGACGTGGCCATCGACGTTCATCTCAAGCGCCGGCTCGTGTGCAAACCGTCGTATAAGAAAGGTCTCGTTAAGAAACGTAACGTCCACGAGTGGCTCAAACACCTCGAGCATTCTCCGTTATACAAGTACCTCAAAATCAAAATTGATTGGAGCCGCCTCGCGAACGTGCAAGACGACGGTGACGTGGACGACGACGAGATCGAGCCGGCGCCGGAGGTTACCGACCTGGAAGAACCTATGCAGGCGGCGATTGCACTCAACGCAATGGCGCATACCATGATCTTTGACGACGGAGCCTGCGTCATCACTAACTGCGTCAACAGCGGCGGCGACGTTGCGGCGGAATCTGTGGCGGGAAAGGCGGCCGTGGCTGTAGGCGGAACCACCGTGCGCTCTGCTTTCAAGCTCACTCGCAACAAGAAGGACCTCGGATTGGGCGACAACGAACTCAATACCTTTCGAGTTGCTTTCCGTTACGTCAAGTGCATCATCGTTGACGAGGTCAGCATGCTGTCGTCTGATAACCTCAATGCCATCGATTGTCGCCTCAAGCAAATCACCCAAAAGCTAGACGAACCCTTCGGAGGCCTCGACGTCATCATGTGCGGTGATTTGCGCCAGTTACCACCCGTCCGCGCAAACGAGGTGTACAAGAGGTGCAGAGAAGCGGGTGGGCTCTTCGGGGCCACAATCAAATGGCACTACCTCGATTACTTTCCGCTCGTCCAAGTCGTCAGACAATCCGATGCCTCCTTCTCGGCTCTGCTCACAAAGATCGGAGACGGAAGAGCACTTCAGGACGATGAGGTCCGACTACTCGAGAGCTGCTTCGTCACCACAGAAGAAGTCTTGGTTCGTGCGTCCTCGGCGATACGACTCTTCTACTCCAACGAAGAGGTCAACAAATTCAATACTTTCATTGCACAGCGAGGAGGAGGAGAAGTCGTTTCACTGCAAGCCAAAGATACCTACCTGGGGTGCGCCAACCAAGACGCTCTGAACAAGGCAATCGCAAAAGTTGAGAAAATGTCACACACCGAGTTTGCAAACCTCCCTCGCGAAATTGTCATCGTCCTCCGCAAACCGTACATGATTACCACCAACATTGACGTCATAGACGGTCTCGTCAATGGGGCCGTTGGCATTCTCAAGGTGTGCGAGAGAGCGGTAAACGACGGCGACTTGCCGAAACGCCTCTGGTTACACTTTGACGACGCCACAACCACGGGTAAGCTTACTCGTCTTCGGTCCAAGCGAATGGTGAACGAGGCCAAGCGGAGTGGTCACGTCATCGACGCCTTCTGGGTCCCCATCGAACCTGGTGTTACCACCCTAACCTTGGATCGCAAGACTGGCGTTGCCTGCAAGAGAAGGCAGTTCCCCCTCGTTCAGGCCAGTGCCATTACGGTCCACAAGTCCCAAGAGGGAACGTACTCGTCAATTGTCTATGAATATAATAAAACGCACCCCCAGAAGTTGGTGTACGTCGCGCTCAGCTGCTGCACCAACGTAAATAACCTCTACCTCACCAATGCAAAAGGAGACCAGCGGTTCTACCATAAAGACAAGAACGAGGACACGGCGATGCTGAACGAGTTTCAACGTCTAGGCCGACATCGATTACCGACCGTGACGCAGCAGTATCAACGATCTCTGCGAGAAGACGTTAACTCTTCCAACGAGTTTACCATTGCCCTCCTCAACGTTCGCTTTCTCAATGCCCACGCACTTGACATAGAAAGGGACCCCATACTGACCGCAGTCGACGTGCTGTGCTTTACCGAGACGTGGAACGTGACGAGATTGTTCATCAAAGGATACGTTCCCGTCGTGTGTACCGATGAATCAGAACGTCCTGCAGGTGGTGTCGCCATCTACGTGAGGCAAACGGAAACGGCTGAAGATCTCAGACTACCACTCACGAGTCAAAGCCAAAACAGAGAATATGCAGCCATCAAACTCTTTGACTCTGGAATCATCCTCATGACCATGTACCTCGCACCCAACCTGTCGACCGGGAACATCAAGACATTCATAGACACTGCCTTACGAAATTATGAGAACAAAAACAAGAATGGACCATTTGTACTACTTGGAGACTTTAACGTGGCTATCATAGACAATAATTGGCTTATCCAACATATGGCTTCTAGATATGCACTCAGACGTATATCGTTTGACCATATGAAACCTACCACAATCCGAGGAACATGCATAGACCTAGTATTTGCAAATTGCCCACTGCAACCCATACAGGAACCACTCTCCCTTCATTTCACAGACCATAAAGCCGTCATAATGAAGGGACATCGCAAGCCATCCATCGTCTAAGAACAAATAAAAGTGGATTTGTGTATATACACACACAGCGTTTCTCACGTCTTTACATGATGATCGACTGGGCGAATTACACGGAAGATTCACAGTTTACCGATAAATCCCTCCGGAGCTTCGCCCATTCATCATCATTCACCCCGTGAATATGCCGTAATTTTTTTTAGCTGACTTGTAGCCTATAGTGCACCCCGGGACGAAGCAATTACTTTCTTTTCGCGCCATGAGAGTGCATACAGAAGCAGTGGTCTCAGAGTGACACCGCACAAAAAGAAACGACGACGAACGCGCCCGACGAAACTGTCGGAAACGTGAAAGCAACGTATAAACGACTGCGCGCGCTCCCACGCGGCTACTTCGCAGATGCTTCAGTGCGCTCCGTAGGCGCCGCTTGCCGCTCATCACACTTTGCTATTCTAGACGCTGTTCCGGTGGCTACATACAACATCGGAGGATGGACAGACCCACACCCTGAGAAGCTTCACCCCTAAAACGGGGTTGGGAGATTCCTTCGTGGGAGAGACGAAAGCAGGCGGGGAAGGCGCGTTTCGTTGCCATCAATACGCTTAGGCACTGCGCCGTGCTCCCGACCGGGTTGCAGGAATTAGGTGTCTTTTCTCATCTTCTAACCACTACCAATACGCTTCCACGCTGCGTGCCCTGTCGGACTAAAGAGCCCAGTAAAGGAAGTCCGCGTAATATAGAAGTCACACCCAACGTTACTAAACGTTGGTCACACCTCTGTGCGCACGTGGACGTATCATGTGTAGTTTTGTAGGTATGAGAGCAATGAGTCTTGTTGAGGGGAGTGCCATGTGTGTTGTATATGGGGTGCCTACATGAACGGCCGGTCATGTGAACGCCCTGTTGTGTAGCGGTTGGCAAACATATACCAAGGAACATGTTTGCTGGCATTTTCTGATACGGCTGTTAGCATCATACATTTTACATCAAAGGAATCTACTGAAGTCTACAGGTATACAGCCCGGAGTCTTCCCGATGGTCTTTCGGTTACCTCGCGGCTTCTAATTTTACACACATACACATAATACGTGGCACCCTCTGGCGCCATGTATTTTGATATCTAGTTGTTGACAGCCCACACTTAAGCATTTAACCTTGGCAGCTTTGCATATGCGAGAATTTGGCTCTTTAAAAATAGTGCCAATCAGAAAACGTCGTCAGTGCAGTCCCGAGCACGCCTTTTCTGTGTTTTAGACAAATGGGCTGACCAGTGACCTGTACTGTACTACGTTACGCACGGCAACACATGACTCGCCAGTGAGACGAATGCTCGCTCTCGTCTTTTGCCTAGCTGATCGATCTGAAGGTCGCGGGGCGGAATCTGTGGTGGTATCATTTTCGATGGCGCCAAATATGTTCGAGACCCGTGTGCTCAGAATCAGGTGCCCAGTAAAGAACCCCAGGGCCCAGGTGGTCGAAATTACCACAGCCCTCCACTATGGCGTCCCTAATAATCCGATCTCCTTTTGGGATTTTAAACTCCGACAAACATTATTACTATTCGGCCGAGTTGCGACGAGGTGTGAATTGTCGCAACAGAGAAGAAATCAAGCCACCAAGTTAACGAAGTACGCAGCGTGGAATGACGACCATAAGAATGTAAGATAACTTAAAATAGTGCAAGCGAACCATGTTGTAAACGAAACGGGTCTCTCTCTCTCTCTCTCTTTGTCACGTGACCGTAAACTGGCTTGCCAAGACATAGCCGATCACTTTACCAATGACGTCATATGTGACGTTTACCTTGGGTCACGTGACCTCGAGCTGTTGAGGCACGGAGGAAGGAAAGGTAGGAGAGGCCCTGACGTCACTCGTTGTGAAGCCGCGATGAAGTCGGAAGTCAGCCATTTTGACTAGGCAAATTCTCCTCGCTTGTTTACATCCGAATGTAAAGCAGAAGGCACGACTCTCTCTCCGGCTCGGAAAGCACGTGGGCTGCGCAGCGCGTGTGTCGTGACGATCCGAAACTAATGGAACGGGGCTCATCACTCTGAGCCAGCGGGACACCTTCAGCGAAATCGCTTCGTCCGAGTAATAACAGGGAGTAACAGCTCGCCGACGACGAAGCAACTACGAGAGAACGCGCGCTAGATGCACTGACAACGGCGAGTGCTTTCACGTCATTAATTCAGCAACTGTACAGACAACACGATCGGTCGTGCACCTTCTACGGTTGCATTCCGCCACGCGACTGACGCAGCGTCCTGCCACTGTGTCCGTGTTCCGCGTGAAACTCACCTGCGTCAGCATTCCGCGACCGTGGTGACTTTGAGCACGGTGCTAGTGACAGTTGAACGTGGTTGCTGTTACGTTGAGATTACATGCAGTGCTGGTGGAGAGTGTACCAAGCGGAACAGAAAAGGTGTTTTAATACGCACATGCAAGTTGTTACTGTACACACACAACACGAAACTACGTATGTGCACATGGTCCTCACGGCGTCTTGCTGGGCTCAACAGCGTCGTCCGTTGTCACAAGCAGGAGCACTGCTCAACCTTCACTGACCTGCAAGGCGTTCGTCGTCATTCAGCTTCGTCATGGTGCCCAACGCCATTTCGCTGAACACTAACTGCTTCATCCGCGTCATCCGCCGCACGACACATAGATATGCACTTGTTCTACGCACTGTTGAAACCCCGTGATGGACAAAGAGATTTGTAAACGTTGCTAAGAGTAATGTAACAGCCAGACGAACACTGCGTAACCAATAACGTGGCGCAGAGCACAGATATTGTCCGCCACGGCTCAGCACGAGACCTGGAGAGGCACACATTCCGCCGCCAGCCACGGCCACTCACTGCTAGACCAGCTCCACTGCGCAACACGTAACCATAGCAACGCCGCCATTGTGCCTAGCGAATATGGACACCATGATGTCATTTCCACCACACTTTTCACGCCCCGCGCCGGCTGGGCATGCCCTCTCCTACCTTTCCTTCCTCCGTGTGTTGGGGTGAAAATAGACTATCTTCGTCACCACGCTGCTATTGTGGCTATAAGGAAAGGTGTCAGCATCGGCGCGCCGGAGAGCGAGCGAGAATTCATCCGGATGTGGTGGCGCTGCGGTTGCTTTCGAGATGCCCCTCCTCGCGCCCGTGCATCAGTCGTTTTTTGTTGCAAATATTTCACGCTACCCTGCAAATATTTCACGCTACCTGTCACAATTATGGCGGTGCACTGCAAAACGTGTATTGGCACTGAAAACTAGCGTTTTCAATTCACTTCATAGTATATCAGCTACGAAGCTTAGAAGATAGAGAATCAAGTGACTTGCCGTGAGCTTGACACCAAAACAACGTCCGTGCAGTTTTCAAATTTGATGCTGCAGTGTTCTCCACGAAGTCTCAATGCACGTAAGGGTATCGGCAACCGTTATTTTTAGGACTTGCGCAATCAATTTATAATTTTACAAGTAAGACATTTATTTTCTCGAAAAAGAAAACAACATGAAATATAAACATAATATATATTGTGTAATAATATATTATTTTGTTTACACAATAATAAACACAATATTATTGTGTTTATATTGTGGCATTAAGGTTGAAGAAAACTGCAAGTTATATGAAACTCAGCTAAAGCAAGTGAATAAGGTAATAAAGAGAACAGTAAATATACGATGATACAATGGGCATACATACACACAAGACATTTAGACTTGATTCGCAAACATAGATATAGTCACAAACCAGTTAACGAAGAAGTTGATTTCTGCATATGTGAAACACAGCCAGACAGTGGCATCACAGTTTTTAATGGGAGGTTTATAACAATGTGAACAAGACAATAGTAAAATCACAAGAAACAACAGAGTGTGAGTAATGCACAATAACATAAAATAAAACCTTGTTCGCTGAGTTAACACTATGACAGTTAAGTCACACGTCTCAACTTCAAGAACTTCGTTTTTTCTCTTTTTTTTTTATTGGACGCATTTTCTTCAGCAACGAGAAAATGCATTCTGGTCAGTGTAAAGACTCCAATTATCTGATTTTTCACTTCCAGTTTGTGGTGTTCACAGCCGACCATATTTAACCTCTTCACAGACAGGCAAGAGATAAGGACTGTTATGCTGTCACTTTCAACTTGTTGAAACTGAAGTAATAAGTGCATGCATCTTTCGTAGCTTTGACCAATCTGTTAAAGACTTGGGCGGGTACAGAAGGCATGATTCTGCCGGAAGCAAACTGGATTCTTCAGAGTGAAGCAACAACCTGCTACATTCGTTGCACTTAGTCTTTTTCATCATCTTCTGGGCCACTTAGTCGCTGACGTAATAAGTGATCCGTGAGCCACTTTTGCGTCCAATGAGATCAGTTTGGTCAGGGAGGGCTTCACAAGAAACTATAATTTCACGAACTTCATTGAGTCACCCCACATCTAGCAGCTCATCCAGCTTATTCTGCAATTTGATTGAATTATTGTGGATGCCCGGACATAAAAGGCTCCTCGGAACTCCAGAAGGTATGTTTCTACTGGAGGGTGACTGTGTCAAACTGTAAAAACTGAGGGAATTCACAGAGATCAAATTGTGTCGGTGAAGGATGATAATACGAGCCAGACATTTGCTTCAGAATTCCAAAAAGATTTTAAGTGCGTCTTAGCAGAGGCCAGACGTCATCAAATGTTTATA